TGGGTGAAACACAAACTGTGAGTTCATTAATCAATTATGAAATCTGGGTCGCTTAGTTGAACAATAAAGATTCAATCATCATAATGATTTGCGTCTCCACCAGCAGTGATTGAATTCCCCACACTCCACTCGATTCTTTGAAGATTCAGTAATCATAATGATCTGGGCCATCTAAATTAAGTTTCTCTTTGATCGCCTACCAATGGCTGCCAAATTATTGATGGCAAAGGGTTAGTTGCCTTCCATGATCAAGATGAAGGCCAAGGCAAAGGCTTGTCTCCTTGCATGCTTCTGAATCAAAGCCTAAAATCCCATTATTCCTTCTTGATGACCAAGTCATCTTACATTTCTTCCCCTACTAGTTGGATCAAAAGATTGTCAGACAAGCTCTTGTTGGTGCGCACGCTCAGAAACCAGGCAGACAAGTCTTGTGTGCCTTGAAAACTCATGTGAGTAAATAAGATGGTTCTGGGCAATAATCCCTTTAGAAATGAATCGGCCTTCGAAACACTACCAGTAATCTCCACATGAACATAACCCATCTGCAAAATGGTGAAATCGATTATTATCCCGAACAATAATCTTTCTTCCTACCACCTTGGAGATGTACTTGATTGCAGAATGGCAATCCAAGCACACCCTTAAATTTTTCTTCACAATTATTTGCTTCCCAGCTGGCATACTTATTAGTGCAAATGCAATTGCTATCCTCTCACTGTGATGGTGAAGAAGCTTTTCCTTCGAGCTTTCGTCCATTTCATGTGGAATAGAATCTGTTTGTGGAACATATCCAGCTTCCTTTATCTGATCAAGAAGAGCATCAAGTTTTTCATAAATTTCTTTCATCAGAGGATGAGACCAATCTTCGGCTCCGAAAGTATGGGTTTTGTTTCCAACATCAACCCAACTATAGCCAGGCAATTTCTTCATGCGGCCATCTCTCATCTTCTTCCTCACACTCCTCACATCTTCCCACTGTTGTTCCTTTGCATATATATTTGAAAGCAAAACACGTGCTCCAATATTCTCAGGTTCAAGCTGCATCAGTTTTTCCGCTGCAAGTTTGCCCCTCTCCTGATCACCATGAATCCTGCAAGCCCCAAGAAAAGAGCACCACCCAAAAGCATTTGGTTGAATTGGCATGTTATTTATGAACTCTTCAGCCTCTTTAAGCCTTCCAGCCCGACCAAGTAAATCAATAACACAAGAGTAATGTTCTTCTCTAGGCACCATGCCATATCTCTTCTCCATAGAATGAAAGTAATTTAAACCTTCCTTTACCAATCCAGCATGGCTACACCCTGTTAAAAGACTGACAAATGTTATTGCATTTGGTTTCACTCCTCTGTTTACCATTTTAGTAAATGTTTCCAAGGCTTCTTTTCCGAAGCCATGAAGAGCAAACACACTTAACAATGAATTCCATGCAACTTCAGTTGGGTTTTCTATCTCGTCAAACACTTGGATTGAATGATCATGCAACCCACATTTTCCATACATATCAACAAGAACACTATAAACAAAAGGGTCTCTATCGAAATTAACCTTAACCACCTGAGCATGAAGCTGGATTCCTTGATCAGGTGCAGCTTGGTTGGCACAAGCCTTGATCAAGCTAGAGAAAGTGAACTCATTAGGCTCAACTCCCTGCCTCTGTAAGTCAACAAACAAACTAAAAGCCTTGTCAATTTCATCCATCTCAACAAAACCATTAATCAGAGAGGTACAAGAAACAATATTTCTACCATCAGAGTCAATCCAAAACACATTTGAAGCACTCTCCATATCTCCTGCTTTCGAGTACATATCAGTCAGAGCATTGCCCACAGAAACCTCTACTTGAAGTCCTAACTTCAGAACAGTTGAATGAAGACACTTTCCAAACTTACAAGCCTTCAATGCAGAACAAGCATTTAACGCACTACAAAGAACATGTTGATCTATAACAATCCCATCATTAACCATCCTCTTATAAGTTAGTAAAGCTTCCTCTGAATCACCATTCTTTGCATATCCATCAATCATTGAAGTCCACGATACTGCGTCCTTACACGGCATCTCCTCAAAAACCTTGCAAGCATCAGCCATCAACCTGAACTTCCAATACATATCTGCCAAATTACTACCCACAAATAATTCAAAAGCCAAGCCCAATTTCAAAGCAAGAGAATGCATTTGCCTCCCAATCTCAATCGACCCAAGAAACACGCAAGCTCTGATGACACTTGCAAATGCAAACTGGGTTGGGTTCTCTCCAGCACCTCTCATCTGGGAAAAAGTTTTCAAAGTCTCAGAGAACCTCCTGTTTTGAGAAAACCCAGTTATCATTGCTGTCCAAGAAACCAAGTTTCTCTGAGGCATTTTGTCGAAGACTTTGAGAGCATAGTCGACCTCCCCACATTTTGAGTACATGTTAAGAAGGTGGTTGGCGAGGAAAATGCATGGCGGGTACTCGGTGCGTAGAAGCTGAGCATGGAGCTCCTTGCCTCTGTTTAGCTGCTTGGTTCGTGCGTAGGTTTGGATAGTTTGCGCCAAGGTGGTGGTGTCCTGGAGCATGTGCCCGCCAAAACGGCACACCGCTTGAAAATTCATAGAGGGGTGAAATGGAAATTTTGTGGAAAAGCTTTACACATTGCTTAAGAAAATGGAATTATGCCCCATATGTCCCTTCCTCAGAAAATAGAATAACTTTATTTTTTTGCTAAATATTTGGGTATTAAATATTTATAACTCCCACAATAAATAAAATAAAAAAAATTAAAACAGTTAAAATTTTAAAACCTTTCTAAAATTCCAACAAATATTTGGGTATTTTATATTGTTAGACCAATTTAACTAACATGATCAACAATTTTTTATTTTTTATTCGTTTATCATCAATAATTTAGACTCTTAATTTGGTTGTCTAATAGCATATCATGTCAAATATTTTTGCCAGATAACATCACTCATTTTAGAAAACTCGTCTTCCTTTATCTAATCAATAGAGAGGAGGATTCAAACTTTAACATCTTCCAACATTAGGAAGATAAATAATGCTAAATCAAGAAGCCAATTTGACGTCCTTTCTTTACATGTTGAATTTGCAAAGATAGGTTTCGTTTAACATCATCAATAATTTAGATACATAATTTGGTTGTCTAATAATGCATTGCACGAGATCACTCATCTTATAAAATCCGTCTTTCTTTTCTTATCAAAAGAAGTAGGGTTTCAAACTTCTGTTCTATACATATTAAATTTGGAAAGATAAGTGTGGTGCACATAAACACCACACCGGCAACCTACTCAAAGATACCCAAGACATAATTGAGCTGAGAGCATTACAAGAAGAAAAAAAACATTTCAAAATTTCCACAATAAACAAAATAAAAATCTGTTCCAAACTATCATCAAGTGTCACAAGTGGTCCAGATTCTCCAATGCCCCACAATAAGAAAGACGATGAACAAAATAAAACTGACATTGCCCCTATAACGATGCACTTTATAGTTTATCACTTTTATACTATCAGACATGAGGCTAAAATGGAAAAATTCTCAACTCTTGTTTTATTATCTGATTTGTTCACCAATTTTTGAGTGGTTTATGTCATTTAATCTTTTTTGATGAATGATTTTATTTTATTATAAGTGGTTGGTGGCGGCTACATCTCCTCAATCTTGTCCCATATTTGGAGTGTTTTGCCGTGGGGCTATCTTTGGGTTTGGCAGACTGTATGTGGCTATGGAAATAGCTGTTGGTGCACCATTTCACAAAGACTATTATTGATTTCCAGAGTCATAGGCATCCACATATGTTTGGGTTGGGTTTTTGTGATGTTTACAACACACAGCTTCACCCTTACGGAGGACTCACAGTAACATTTATCGGATGCAATTCAGGGTTTCAATTTTAACTGACGGGAAAACGAAGATTCAAATTTAAAACATTTTTTAACATTAGAAAAAGAAGTATCACTAAATTAAGACTTAGTTGGTACTAATATCTATTTTTAATTCCTTGAAATATAATCTAATTTACGGCTGGACGTACCCCTAATAATTCATGCGGTATTTGTAAAAATTACTCTAAAGATCTAGTAAGTCTGAGATTCAACGTTGTACCATCTTTCTTGCAAAACAACAATAGATATACGAGGAAAGTCATTTGCCCTCTTCTTGTGCACAATGAACTCCTCTGAATTGAGCTCTTCCATATCAAGAGACAAAACAAGAAAGACATGACAACATGGGGCCTTGAAGAGAAAGATGCCCATGTGCATAATGCACTCTTACCAGTCTGATAGTACGAAGATTATATTGTTCTTCTCCTTTTATGTCCAAAATAATTAGTTGTGAAATGATTTTTCGTGTTATGTCACCTGTTTGTGTGATGTGTTTTGAGTGCTTAAATTTCAAAGGAGAACTTCCACCAAAATTTTTTTTCAAAGGAGAACAAAACCAAACCAAACAAAACCAAAGGCTGCTAGCAAGTGATGGTGTACAATAGAAGAAAAAATCTTTTTGAAAACCCCAAGAAGGTCCCCATCTTGTATCGAATAAAATTGAATAGTGTGCAAATTATCATTAAATTTATAATTCTTTTTTCGCTAAATAAAATTTCACAACCAACTCCCAAACTCAAATGCATGTCAATGGAGTTTAGACCAGTAAGAAAATAACTTTGTTTTGTTGATTAAATGGTCTCAAGTTCGAAATTTCATAATACCTTAACAGTATATGTGTGAGAAAAACTCATTCCATTCTTAATTTCGATAAAAAAAAGAAAAAAACACCCAATGTCTTATTATTATTATATGCGGCCCCAAATCAACATCAACCTCACAATCCTCCAAAAACCCATCCAAGGAATCCCGCTAGTCCCAATGGATTTATTATTATGAGAATCCCTTTTTCCCTTTCTTTTTTGCATTTTCAAACAAGAACTAAGCCACACAAATAGGACTTCAAAGCAAATCTCAACCAAGCCACGTACTATTGTCACTAACCATACAAAAGAAAAGAAAGAAGAAGAAAAAAACTTCAAGCATTGACGTGTACACTAACCTCCCCACCCATTCTAGTTGCATTATTAGCAGAAGCAAATTAAATCCCCCCCAGCTTGCTATATCCCTGTGCACACTACCATTCAACAAGAGAACATCAATTGAAAAAAGTTTGAACACGAAGAAGAAGAAGAAGGAGAAGGAGAAGGAGAAGAATCACCACCTAGCTAGCTTTGCACACATTTTTCATTTCCATTTTCCCCACTGAATGAGAAAACAACCATCTCAAATGGCTCACCAAGTCCCTTTGGAAAAACCCATCAACCAAAAAACTCCATCTCTTCCAACCCTACAAGAACCTGAGGAAATCTCCAAGTCTAACATCAATTGCATGGAGCAAGGCAGCACATCACCAAAGAGGCATGAAAATGATGGGTCAAGCAGTGAAGAAATTGCATTTTTGGAAGGCCGGGCTTCTGCTGCTGGGGATGTTGTTGTTGTAGATCGCGAACCAAGTAATGTGGCTGATGAAGACAGTGGACGTGAGAGGTTGAAAAAGCATAGGGTTGAGGTGGCTGGCCGGGTTTGGATACCTGATATATGGGGGCAGGAGGAGTTGCTTCAAGATTGGATTGATTGTTCTGCTTTTGATGCTTCTTTGTTCCCAAGTGGGATTATGTCTGCTCGTTCTGCTTTGATTGAGGAGGGGAGGAGACAAAACTCAGCCAGAATAAGAATAGAAAACAGGTGTTGAATTATAACAATAATAATTAATCTTCTCATTTTTCTGAGATCTTTATATTTGTTTTAATTATAGTTATGATCATATACAAGCTCTTTTTTATATTTTAATATTTATGATTATTGATACATGAAACATTATAAATTTATATATATATATTATGGGAATGGCTTCTGTAAGTGAAAATGATTCTATTTGCCCCAAAAGAGTGCATTTTCTGACAAGTGCATGTTACCAGCTTTAGAAATTGGGCTTTTCATGAATAGGTCCATTTATCATTTTCTTTAGCTATATATATCATTCGGGGATTGTACATAATTTCTGAAATATAAAGCTCTTTCTAATTTTATTGCATGGATTGTTTGATGTTTTTATCTTATAGATTGTTTGCTGTCAGCAAACAAACACCACCAAAATAAAGGGAGAAATCAATCATCTCTGAACGATTGTTTGTCAGATGCACCAGTGAGGATGTTTTTTTAAGTCCTCTTGGGGGCATACACCCACCTGTGAATGAAGAACAAATTGGGCATGTGGACACCGTTCGAGAAATCGCCACAGCCATTGGTTCGGTGTCGGCCAGTCAGCTTAGTTAGTCTAGTTAGTTTGACAACCACTAGGTCATAAAAGCTTAAGCAACTAGAGACTAGGCCGACAGTTCTATATACAGCTAACAGAGGATACTGCCTGACAATGTAGTTTGTAAACGCGATCAGAACACATGTAAGCCAGACATCGTATTTTCGAACACAATGTAAGAATTCATTGTTAACTGAGAGGATAATAAGGAATCCGCCATCAGAGAGGGCGAGGAGGGAAAGAAGTTGAAAGAGAAATGTCTGAAAGCAAATCTTGTTAGCCATCCTATAAACAAAACTGTAAGCTTCAACCTTCGCCATCTTCATTCTCATAAAGATTCATTACATCTAATTCACATTAAAAATTGCCACATTTCACTAACTATACTAAACTTCATGTTTTTCCAAAAATCGAGACCAGTATAAAAGAGATAAACATTTGCAATTACACAATTGTTCTAACAGCAAAGAAAAAGGTTCCTTCATCAGCCTGCAGATGTCAGCGCCCATATTTTAATCGTCCCGTCATCAGCTGCAGAAGCAAGAATCCGATCCTCCTGAAAAATTCAACAGCAATGTACAAGGGAAATGTTAGTGCATGCATGAAAGTTAGACTTCGTATACAAAAATTAAATTCCTCCAGACATGGTAACCTGTTAATTCAGCAATCTCTCTCACATGACTACTCAAAAAGAATTAATGTATAGAGAGCATAGACAAACTTAAGTCATCCAAAGAGAAGGGAAAACGGTAACAGAGCTCCTGTGAGCAATTTGATGCAACCATAATTGTATCATGTGCAAATTATTTAGTAGGTAATAACTACGCAGAACATCACTAGTACTCAGCAACCATAGCAGTCCTCAACTTGGTGGTAGTGCTGGTGCATTAAGCGTGATAATGGTGATGCTTGAAATGATAGCCGTGGGGTCCTTGATGATTGGCTGTAGGGGTAGTATTGACTATGATAGGGGTGTGGTGGTAATAGTAGCAGTCACAGCAGAAAGTATGGTGACAGAACCAGGACAAGTGATGATAGCCATTTGAGTATAGGTGCCATTAATGGTAGCAGAAAACTAGATAAGACTCGTAGAACCTAGTTCTTGTGGACCTTGAATGACAAATTACCAAAAAATTTAGACACAAGAATACTGGACTCTAGTAGATCCTCAGAAATCTAGAGTTCAAGCTGGAAAGCCTCAATTCGCAGTCCAAGCTGGCAAAAGCTCCATTCACAGAGAAAACAACAGGACCTCACAGAACTTCAATGATCTGCAGAACGAGAAATCTTACCCCAGGGCTCCATTGCACCGAATTTATATCCATGTCATGGGCCTTCTCCTTTTTCAGAAGCAATTTATACGAAGGTCCATCAACCTGAACGAAAACACACAATTGGGTTATTTAATACTCCCCAAACCAAATAAGCAAATAACAGAGCCACTCCAATCATCAAAGCGCTCAATGAGCTTAATTTAATTGGTCCACACCAAGCTCTAGAGAATATTTATTAGCAATTCGCTGTCACAACTAATTGAGATATTAGGCCATTTCACTGGTGATACAAATTCTAATACAATTAATGGGGGTGAAAGATTATGACATACCAAACCATCTTTATCATCATTCTCCACAAAAAATCTTATCGTGTCATCAGCAGCTCCACTGGCAATGATATTGTCCCTGTCATTTTTCAATTAAATATAAATCAATATTTGGGATTAATCAAAATCTTATTTGGTGAATCAAACAATAAATTGATTAAACTAGTAAACTCAATCGAACCAATGCAGCCATGTTTACCTTACATTTTGCGCAGATTGCTACACTATCTTATATTGAATAAAGATCTTAAGTAATTCCCGTAAACTTCCCTATTAAATAGTTCATCTTTATTCTTTCTTATATTTTATAATCTTTACCAAAGACCCTCAACAATTGGAACTATTTCTTTGGTTCCATTACCTTGACCAATGAACTGAAAATATTGTCCGATCATGATAACCTGAAAGAGTGCAAAGATGTCTCCTGACAACACCAAAAGAGAGAATCATCTTATCAGTGCGACAAGAAAACACAAATGAATTACAACCAAAATGTTAGCACTCTACCAAACAAATCATTTATTCAATTAATTCCTTGGACTCATACTAAATGAATCTAAAACAATTTTCCATGGAACTGATAATGAAACAGTGTTATCAACACATAGAGTAGAACCACATTATTTAATTCCATTCAAAAGCAGCTGACTTCTATGTTGCAACTACAATAACACTAAAACAACACAGCACTTGTAACTGTAAAGCCCCAGAAACATCTCAAACAAACACACTTCAAAATGAAAAAAAAATGAGAACCCTCCAAAATTTTCCAGGTAAACTTAGCATATCCTGACTACCAGGCACAATTAGGAATCTTGACCAAGAGTTTTTTAACCCAACTAAATGTGGGGATGGCATGGCCCCTGGTTTCAAATTTTTCAACCCATTGAAAGCACATTCTTCTGAAAATAATAAATTCATTCATGTAAGAGGCAATAATAGCTAGGTCAGATCATGTAGATGATTTTCTTATCTTCAATCATGCACATATGTCCCTTACTTCAAGCTCAACATGGACTTATTCGCAAAACGAAAAAATTATATTTTTTTGGACAACTAAACGACAAATTACTTGGGCAACCCAGGATGACACATACCCTTCTCTTTCTATACAATGCACTGTCTGTCTAGGAAACATACAAAGTTTCAAATGCGTGAAATCACATATAATTGAATATGAAAGCATCGTATTCAACAGAAACAATGGTGGAGAGTGCAAGTATCAGGACGCCTGAGTGTTCAAAATTAGAGAAAGACTATGAAGAGGAACTCAAAACTCATAAGCAAATAAAGGAAACAAAAAGAAGTATAAATCCAAACGAATATATGAGGGAAGGGAGGGAGAGAGAGAGAAAAAGAGGCTATTCAAATTCATCTATTTCTGTAAATGCAAATGTAGCCTACATCACTGCCCAGTGCTAATGCTGAGTCTAATGGATTTTTTTGTTTTTTTTTTGGTCAAAGCTGAGTCTAATGGATATGTCATGGTACAACCTATTAAATATCCCCGCTCTAAAACAAAACCTATAACATCTGGTTAATAAAATATTTAAAACAAGATCAAATAATTCACATAACTGAAAGACCAAATTCAGGGATTCTAAAATGAAAAGAAATCATTCTAATGGAGCATGTTCCTCACCATGGTACAAAGTCATCCGTAGATTGCATCTTTTCATTGTCTGTTCCCCATATCTTTAAAGTAAGATCGTCACTGCAAAATCAGCACCTTGTTATTTTATTTCTCCTTTTGAGTACTGTTCAAAACTTCAAATTTCTGTTTTGCATAGATGCTCTTATAAATGGTGTTTTGGAATCAAAACCAATGAAACATAAAAAATGAGAAAACACTTCTGCTTACCTGCAGGTAACCATTTTGTCTCCACCATCATTAAACGATAAAGCCCAGACAGTAGAAGAGTGACCACTAACAAGAAAACCGGTTAAGCTGAATTAGACTAAAAGATATATTTTGACAAAAATTGCTAGCAGTTCTACAAACTCAACTGGTTCAGAATAATCAAAAGAGGCCATGTATCATATTAAAAAGAAAAATATCCTGTAGTCCTTAGATGAGATCATATTTCTTTTAAATTATGAACAGTTCAGATGCATTGCACCCACTGCACTTCTTAGTCGTCCATATCAAATCAATTAGTGAGAAACATGACCTCATTAACCATAAGGCGCTTCGGAGAGAAGAACTACACACACGTTATGGAAAGTATTACATAAAAGAAGGGAATAATTCTGAAGAAGGAATGATGAAGCAGAAAATTTAGAGATACAGAGAGGCTAAGACGTAGTACTTGTTAGTTTCACCTAATGTTTGAACACACGCCCAATCATCATCATCACCTTCATCTGCCCATATCTGCAAGAAATATTGTACGGCATCAGAAAAAAAGTATCCAATCTTCTTGATACATAATTAACGAAAAAATAATCATTTTTGTGGGACAGTAGTAGGGAAGGTAGGAAAAGCACTTAAAACTCTAAACTTTACCTTGACAGTGTTATCATAGCTACAAGAGAATATAAGATTCCTGCTTGGATGCCACTGAACCATCTTCACATCTTGTGTATGGCCTTGCAACACTGCAACACAATCAAACTCATTTCCGGGTTGCACTTCCCATATCCATACAGTTTTATCCCGGCCACAAGTCGCAAGCAGAGACCCAGATGGATTCCAACTCACACTTTTCACTTCGTTTTCATGACCCTGTACACAAAAACACCTTTACTAACGAAAACCAAAAGAACCCAACTTGTAAAGTTGATCGATTGAGGTAAAGCGAGAATCTTTCAATGCCATTAACAAAGATACCTCATACCTCTAAAGTGGACACACATTCATAATCACCCCCAACATTTTCCCAAATTGCAGTGGTGGCGTCGAAGCTGGCAGTGGCCAAAAATTTCCCAGATGGGGACCAAGCGCACGATCGGACGGTTCTAGTGTGAGTTTCATCCAAAACTGCCTGCAAACCAAAATTGAAAATTCCATAACAAATTGTCCCATTTAACAAAATAAGGAAATAAAAAATAAAAACAAAAAGATGGGTAACCTTGCAATCCCACGAAGAAGTGGAGCTAGAGTGGTTGTGTTCCCAAATACGGACGGTCTTGTCACCACTACATGAAGCGAAGGAAAGGGGGATTCCGGCAACACCAGTTACTGGGTTCCATGCGAGGCTCCAGACCCTATCTGTGTGACCCTCCAGCTTCTGAATCTCTCTCAGTCCTTTTGCTAACTCCATGGCCAGGTGGGGTTGTGAGCTTTGTGAAAATAAGGGATTGGCAGGAGAGTTAAAGAGTAAAGTGGTGAAGAAAAGTGAAAAGCGGGGGTATTGGGTTACGCCACTACGGTGTTGACGAGTCGGCAAGACGAGGATTTGACAGCCGGTGGGAGGTGAATGAATACTCTCTGTGCTCGCGTTGACGAGTTTAGTTGGTGTTTGTACTCTTGTGTTATGTGTTCTGTGTGGACCACGAGTCAGGAGCAAACAGCACTTGATTTTCCTTTTGGCAAAAATTACAATGTTGATGCATGTAGTCACTTGTTTTATTTTTCATATTTTCTTCAGAGAAAAAAAGTCTCCCTAATACTACTTTTTTTCGATGTATTCATGACTAACTACCTAAACGAGT